GTTTTTTGGGATTCCCGGTGACGTAGTGAGAAAAAATGAAAGGCACCTTTTCTTGGTAAGGGCCATAAAATTTATAAAACCGATAACTGGTACACAAGCCCCCTTACCAGTGATTTTATGCGAGTGAACAAGACAGATTGTGTGGGGACAGTGCGGGTTTTAATCGAAAACATAAAGCCCAGGCTCAACGCAGGTTTCGGGTGATGACGTCAGGGTTTTCTGCCAATGCATCATGGCATTTCGGTGGCATGACAAACGAGGGTGTCACATTGTTGACAACCATTCACCGTAATGAAATGCAAGACGTGGCAAAGTTGATGAGTGACTAATGAACGGATTCGGGAAAACCCCGGAAAGTGATTTATTATCACAAAAATGCGCTTTGGGTTACAAGGTACATGCAAATTTGGGTTTTTTTTTGACGTGTTTTTGAAAATTACAAGTGGTACAAAGAAACTTTTTTTCCATCTCATGGGCATTTTAATGCTGAATGCATATAAAAGTACCAAATAAAGACTGGTAACAGACCACCTATGGGGAAATTTTGTTTGTCTGTTGTCCCGACAAACTCAAATGAATACGTACCCGTAACAACACCTGCAATACAAACCATGGGCCCTCGAAATTTATCACAATATCCCAAGCGTTTGAGGAGAAAAAGGGATCATTTCATAAAACAGCTTCCTTCCCCCCAAAAAAAATTTGCTCAGAAGAGATGCATTTCGGGCACAAACAAAACGACGGGAACAAAGACGCAAAGACACCCCGGTTTAAAGTGTGAGGAATGTAAGGTTTCCCTCTGTCATGGGCCTTGTTTCAAGGGGTTTTCCCCAAGCTCCACAGTTCAAAAACCCTGTCCAGTTTATTGTAAATAATTTTTAAAAATATAAAAGAACATTATATTAAACAATAATTGGGGCATGTTTAGTAATAAACAACAGTGGTTTAAAAAAAAAAAAATATGATAATAACTTTAGTGGGGGTTTTTTGTGTTTTAAAACAGTGAGTATATATATATCAATTTTTATACATTTTTTGGGCCTCCCGGCCCCAAATTTTTAGTAGGAATAGGAAAAAAAAAAGGAAAAGAAAAGAAAAAAATAAAACAACAAAATAATAAAAATACGTGTATGTGGAAAAATTTTTGTCGATGTTGGGCCCCCACCACATCAATTTTTTACAAACTTCTTGGGACTGTCTTCCCGGGAAATACTGATCAGATTTAATTTTTTTTGTTTTTATTACCTTCACAAAAAAATGGGTCTTTAATTCTGTAAGAAAAAATTAAAATTTTTTTTTTTTTTTTTAAAATTTTTTGGGCAAATGGTGCGGACTTTTTGATTTTTTGGGCCCTTTGGGCCCTAAAGGGTTTTTAATATTAGGCTTTTTTCCCTTCCTTATTTTTCCCCATTCTTTTTTGTTTGTTCTCATTTTTTAGGGTTGTGCTCATTTTAAATTTCTTTTTTTTGGGCACTCGTTGGGGGGTTTATTTTATTTTATTTTTTTTTAAAACATCGGGGTTTATTCCCACCAAGGCAGGGGGGCCCGAAAAAAAAAAAACTTTTTATCATTCACACCCCTTTAAATGTCTTGCCAGAGGGGGCTTTACACTACCGTTTTAAGATTGAAAACACTTATGGGAACATATGGGAAACCTTTTTTTCAGGAAACGTTTTTGCCACACAGTGGCTTTATCATTTCCCCCTACCCAAAATGTCCCAAACTTTAACTTTTCGGTTTTTTTTTTAAAACCCTTCATCACAAATTCCGACACTGCAGCTCATGGGGTCTTGTTTTCAAAGAATTCTTCAACACTTGTCCAACCTTTTGGAAAGAAGAACCTTTCTTTAAATAGTTGGGACCCACTATGACCCCCACCCCTCCTGCTTCGCCTCACCTCCTACAGTATATGGGCCCCGTCTACGGCCCCCCAGCTTTAAAATTTACAAGATTGAAAGATCCCGAAAAACATTTGACTCCAGGGTGAGGGGCGATTACCTCAAACTCCTCCTCTCCTTACTCCTTTCTACTTTGTATCGGACTGATGAAGCCACTGTGTGGCGAAACGTTTCCTGAATAAAGATTCCCATATGTTGCATAAGTGTCTCAATCTTCAACTTGTCGGTTTTTCAAACCATTCATCACACACTACAGTTTATAAAGCTGCAACATTAACGACCCTTCATAAATGTTACTTTGCTCACACTCCAATAGCACATCGAGTATTAAAAACCATTTGCCTCCATTCACTCCTATCAAATATGCTCACGCATGCTTGCTGGAAGTCCAAGCCCCTCGCACACAAAACCTTCTTTACCCCCTCCCTTCAATCTTTCCTAGGCTGACCCCTACCCTGCCTTCCCTCCACTACAAATTTATACACTCTCGAAGTCATTCTGTTTTGTTCCATTCTCTCTGCATGTCCGAACCACCTTAACAACCCTTCCTCAGCCCTCTGGATAACAGTTTTGGTAATCCCACACCTAATTTCCAAACTACGAATTCTCTGCATTATATTCACATCACACATTGCTCTCAGACATGACATCTCCACTGCCTCCAGCCTTCTCTTCGTTGTAATATTCATCACCCATGCTTCACACCCATACAAGAGTGTTGGTACAACTATACTCTCATACATTCCCCTCTTTACTTCCACGGACAAAGTTCTTTGTCTCCACAGACTCCTAAGTGCACCACTCACCCTTTTCCCCTCATCAATTCTATGATTCACCTCATCTTTCATAGACCCATCCGCTGACACGTCCACTCCCAAATATCTGAATACATTCATCTCCTCCATACTCTCTCCCTCCAATCTGATATCCAATCTTTCATCACCTAATCTTTTTGTTATCCTCATAACCTTACTCTTTCCTATATTCACTTTTAATTTTCTTCTTTTACATACCCTACCAAATTCATCCACCAACCTCTGCAACTTTTCTTCAGAATCTCCCAAAAGCACAGTGTCACCACAAAGAGCAACTGTGACAACTCCCACTTTGGTTGATTCTTTATCTTTTAACTCTACACCTCTTGCCAAGACTCCCGCATTCACTTCTCTTACAACCCCATCTATAAATATATTGAACAACCAGTATATGTCGAATTCACAAATAAAAGTCAAAAGATAAATTGGCCGATTATTTTACACGTTTTATATGCTTGCTTTAAGTGTGATGTATGTTTAGAAGATTTTTATATTTACTTATTTTGGTGTACTGTGAATAGTGAATATGAACATTTTGCAGTTTAACTGTTGATAATCATTTATTTGTAGCTAAAGAATCTGCTAAGTTCATGGTGTTTCTTCTTCTGTATTGAATCTATCTAAAGTCTATAAACCCAAGATAAGTTGTAATGAACAACTGTCAGTAAATGAACAGATTGTTCATTTATTGACAGTTGTTGGATGAGTCTGTGATCCACACGAGTAACAGGCCCAGCCTTGTAACCAGTAAGCCATGAGGGTTCTAATAGGATGAGTTTACAACCAGCACTATTGTACTATGTATGAGCTGTCGCCAACTATGACCCTTCTATCTTGTCCCACACCCCCACAGCTTTCATGGCACATCTATTCTCATACCCCTTAAAGCCATGTAGTCTATAAACCCATAAGTCATAATGATTACACTTAACCCAACGGCTAACCACCTCGTCCTACCTTTAAAATACCCTGTAAATCAATACAAGAAAGTTTATCATTGCCACTTCCAAAGCGAAGAGCTGAACTTTACAACTAAGCACATTTACAAGTCCTGAGGTGAGGGGCTGTCAGGATTCCCATCTTTTTCATCTTGGAAGCTGACTGAGATATCAGGAACTGATGATGATGATGGCAATACATCTGGGCGAGCAGATGTTGAAGGCACTAGATTTTTAAGGGGCAACTCATCTGTTGCATGCTTTTTAGCTATTTTTTTGAACATATCTTGCAAGTTGAACTGTTTCATATATTTTGGCCTTTCTTTGATTTGTTTATCCTGCAGCATTAAACATTAATTTTTTTTTCTTGTTAAACTTAAAAAACGCTTTGCTCTAGACCTTTTAGCAGTTCACCGGGTTTACTAAATTTAAAACCTATAAATTTGAGACCCTTTGGGCATTGTAGGGTTTTTTGCACTTTACACAAAAAGCATATCCATTAAAAATTTGGGAACCATGGGGGGGCCCAAAAAAGGAACAGGTTTATAAAAATACATGGAGAAAAACAAATTAAAAATGGCTTTGCCTGTTTTTTTCCATTTGACACGAACATTTGTTTAGGCAGAAGAAAAATCTACCAAACGTAGCAGAAATTTGGTACTTAAAACCCGGTAAGTTTAAAAATTACCTACCCAAAAAATTAGTGATGGTACCAATTAGTTTTTGGGGATCAGGGATGGCCCAAAATGAATTGTTTAAAGGGGACTGTTTAGTGTTAAAAACATTATGCCCCATTATACCTGATTTTCAGTTTAATGGGACGGCTATGCCCAGGGGAACACACCCTGTTTGGACCCTCCCTTAAATTTTCCCAAGTTCATTATAGAGCTCTGTTAAAGCTCCTTTTTATTGGCCCCCGCTCCCTGCTTTTTTGTCATAGCCCCTTTTGACTGCATTTAATTAATGTTTCCTCCCCCCCAACTGTTCTTTTTCCTTTTCCCCAAAAACCTCTAAAAACCCGTTTAGAAAATTTTGCATAAAATGCACCTTGCTTTTCAGCGATATTTTTAGGAAAACGCAAAAATTGTAGAAGGGGATCATTTTTTATAAAATGTTCTTTAGATACCCACTCCCCTTATCTCAGTCAGGAGCCCTTTACACCACATTAACTCTCCTTGATTTTTTTAAGCTCAAATATATATCTGTTTCTAGTCTTGGAAGAGCTTGTATCCCAAATCTAGAGGGGATTTTGTCAGGTGTATAATGCTTAAATATTTTCCCAGATGTTAAGTCTAGCACATTATTAAAATCTGTTTTTATCTAGTTCTCATTCAATGTTTGCTTTTCAGCATTTTGAAAATATAAAGAAGTTTACTCAGAAGATTTTTCCCAAGCCAGTTTTTCTCAAGGAGAGTGAAAAACTTAATAATTTCTCTCCTGAAGATAAGACGGTTCCTTCTTTGCTAGTTAAACCCAAAGACAAGCCTTTCATAGTACCTGCTGGAACCTGTGATATGGAGCCTCTGTATTATATAAATAATGCTTCATCAACATTAGAGCTAACCTCGCCCTCTCTTGCAGAGAACTCTCGTCCCTTTAAGCTGTACCATTATGATCCCTTCACCAAGTTGCTCACTCCTGTAGATACTTATAATGTTGCTCTTGACACTCAGTCACAGTGCCGGAATGACTTCGTGGCTTACAATACTATGCCCGAGTACCTGAAACATTCTGTGGCTTACGGTACCACACTTAATATTCTGCCACCTTGTTGGAAACACACTGTGGCTTACAGTACTGCACTTGATACTCAGTGTCAGAAAGATGCCTTGGCTTACTGTACTACACTTGCTATGCTACCACAGTATCAGAAAGACCCAGTAGCTTACAGTATGGCACTTGATACTCACCCCTGGTGCCCTAAGGTCTCTGTACCTTACAATTCATCATATGTGGGAAATGAGCCTAATGAAAATTGCTGTGATGATGGTCCTCGAATTGTATTTGCAGGTTTGCTAATTTCATTCTTGATGTAGAAGAAATGTTGCACCTTTAACACCTAGTTTTATAAAGTATTATATAGCAGTAGTAATATTTTTCACTAGTTACTGATTGCACGTGTTGTCACAAACATAAGCTGTAAATGTTGTTGAAGGGCATATATGCTTTGGTAAAAGATGGCTAATGTGGTAAAAAAAATCAAATAACATACTGTATTTTTATGTGGTATGTATGGAGGAAGTGAATGTATTTGGACATTTGTAAGTAGACATGTCTGCAGATGGGTCTATGAAAAACCAGGTGAACCATAGAATAAGGGTGGAGAAAAGGTACAGTGGAACCTTGGTTTTCATGATTAATCCGTTCGAAAAGGTCTAATGAAAACAGAATCGTATGAAAACTGAAGCAATATTTCCCATAAGAAATAATGTAAATCCAATTAATCTGTTCCAGACACCCAAAAATATTAACAAAAAATACATTTTATAGAGAATAACTATAGTTTTACATATAGAAAACAATGAAAAATAAATATAAATGACTAATGAAATGGATAAATGAGCATTTAACATCACTTTTACCTGTATTGAAGACTCTTGTTGGCGTATGGAAGAAGTTAAGGAGGGGAGAGGAAGGAGGAGAGGTTATTGTTTGGAAGGAGAATCCCCATCCATAAAGAATTCAGGTGTCAAGGCCCTGTCCGGGGTTACTTCCCTTCTTAATCTGTTGCTGGCACTAGGACCAGCTTGAGAGTCGCTGGACCCCTGTCACACAAAAAATCTGTCCAAAGAGGTCTGTTTCTGGCGTCTCTTTGAGTTTTGCCTAAAATGGGACAAGGTACTGTCGTTGAACACGTTGCAGACACAGCTTGCAACAGCTTTGTTAGGGTGATATTTCTCCACAAAACTTTGCAACTCATTCCACTTTGCACACATGTCCTTAATCATTGAAGAAGGCACATTCTCTCCTCTCATCCTTCTCCTCTGAAGCGATTTCCTCGGCTGCAGTCTGTTGCTGTTGTAGTTGAAGGTCTTGCAGCTCTTCATTGGTTAGTTCTTCCCTGTGGTCCTCCACCAAATGTTCCACATCCTGGCCACTCACACTCAACCCCATGGACTTCTCCAAAGACACAATGGATTCCACAGCAGGCATAGGGTCATCAGGGTCAGCCTCAAACCCTTCAAAATCCTCCTTGAGGACACATTCTGGCCATTTTCAGCTGTATGAAAATGAGCAGATGTATGAAAACTAGGACAAAATTCGACAAAGTTGTCAAAAACCGAATCGTATGAAAATTAGGGCATACGAAAACCGAGGCTTTGAGTGTAGGTGGTGTGTTCAGGCATCGGTGTAAAGAATGAAGCTTATCTATGGAGCCAAAAAAGGGATTTGTGCCAGAGAATAATGATCCCAACACTTTTAAATGGGTTTGAGGCATGGGCAGCGAAGTGTAAAGTTCCTAGTACAATGACCTGAGCTGCAACCCAGCTGGGCAGGTAAATATTCATGAACGTATCCCGCATGTCATGAGAGAGGTTACTACACAATTGTCCTTTTGTACTTCATTAACCCTTTGACTGTTTTGGTCATATATATACGTCTTACGAGCAAATGTATTATAGAAACAGAAGTGAACTTGATTGGTTTTACTATGAAATGGAGCTCAAAGTAGGGGGAATGTTTGATTTTTGCCGATGTTCAAAAGTAAACAAATGATGTCATTTTCTAATAAATGTCCAAGTAGCCATTCTGATATGCAGTCATGAATGGGTTGACATTATTTATACAATTATTACAATATTGCAGTAGTCTGCATAACAATAAATCTTCTATTTTTTGTTTGAATAAAAATTCAAAATAGAAAGCAAGAGTAATACCAGAAGGGCCTGGAGACGTGACTGATGAACAGAGAAAGTGTTATTTTAGAGCAATGAATGTCTGCATTGTTCATTCTGGACCCTATTTTGAAATTGTCATATTTTTTAATTTTCGTGAAATTGGCCAAATTGCAAATTTCTGACCATGTTAATGGGTAGTTGAAATCGGTAAATGGGCAGTTTCTTGTACTCATTCTATAGAAAAAATGGAGTTCTAAAGAAATAGCTATGACTTTGGTTGACTGGAACAATGGAATTAGCTGAAAATAGGGCTCAAAGTGGGCGAAATCGCCGATTCATAAATATCACTTAGGTTGCTAACTTCGCAAGAGTGTAATTCTGTCAGGTTTTCATCAAATTTCGTTCTTTTGGTGTCATTACAATCAGGAAAAGATTCTCTATCATTTCATAAGTTTTTTTTTTTTTTTTTTTTTTTTTTTTTTTTTTTTTTTTTTGCAACACCAGGAGACACCTCAGGATTGGGGGTTGCGACAGCCAAGGGTTTAAAGAAAGGCATGTTCATTGTTCAGCGAAAGGTGTTGAAATTGATTCAACAATAAAACTTTAATAAAATTGGATCTCTCTTTATTATTAATGTCTTTATACTTCATTAACATTGTCTGAAAAGCATCCCAAATATTGCATTTTAGTTTTACTTTTATTCCCATCCTTGACATCAAAATCTGAGAAAAATGCCTATAAAAGTGGACTAAGTAATATAAGGTAAAGAATTATTGCTTGAATGTTGAATATAAAACTGGTAATTATTAGATTAATAACATAGACTTAGCAGGTTTAAATAAGAGAAGGATGGGTCATTTGAATTGTGATGTCCACATTTGGAAAGATAGTTATGTAATGAATGATGGTGAATGTGTTAACATTTTGGGTCATTTTACATTGGTGGTAAATGGCCTTTGGGATAAAAATATCAGTTGAAGTATAGCCTCTCCTCACTTAGTGGCGTACTTGTTTACTGACGACTCGGACTTATGACGGGCTCTCTGACCAATGTGCATACCTAAATAATGTATATTAGAGCTAATTTTCCTCTATTCTGTTTATTCCAATATACAGTACACTACTGTATAAACATTTAAAAATTTACTAAGAATGTTATGAATGGTGCAAAGGTGACATTAAAACAATATCAAAGATGGTTGACAGAAACCCACTACCATTATAGTATGCTCCTCATTTAGCGATGAATTCGTTTACTGACGTGTTCTTAGGAACGGAACTCCATCATTAAGTGAGGAGAGGCTGTATTTGGTTTAGCCAGTAAAGTTGAGGATTAAAAGTACCCCTCTCATATTGCAATATTTTGGATAGGGTTGATAATTCCTTTATTCTTATTTTTAATTTGCTGTGTGTTAAGTGTTAAAAATATGCGAGGCCATGGTCTCCAGTGTGAATCTATAAGGACCAGCTTGTTTTTTTTATAAATGAATATTTAGCACATATAATATTAGAGTTGAAGGTAATTTTTTTCTTTTTTTTTTTTATCAGGAACAGGTTTGAAAAGTTATATAGATGAGTCAGCATCATGGCTGTTGCTTCCCAAGTGTTCCTCCAGCAAGGTGCACATAACCCATCACAGCTTACCAGAGCTTGCACCACCAAATAGTTTGACACCTTGCTAGGCATCCCAGTGTGTGTTTTGAGCAGTGAGTAACAAAAAAATAAAATCAGTATACCCAACAAACAAATATTGGATAACTGTGATATCACTTTAAAATCTCTCTATTACCAAGAAGACTTCACTAACAAAAAAATGAGTCAAGGTTAAAAAATGCATAATTTTAGAGATTGAACTGTTGAGGTGGAAATAATATTTATTATAGTACTACTATTACCTCGCTCCATTATTTTAATGATTCAGACAGTAAACATTTAAGCTCTTTTAACATGCACTGTGCATTAATTGTTAAGAAATATTCTCCATGGACCAGCTCATTCATGTAATTTTCTTCATTTGTACTGTAATGGGCAGGAATGTGGCAGTTCAACATCACTGATTGTCTTTTGGAAAGACAACTAGAGAATGAGTGGTGGTGACTTACTTGTTTAGGTCACCCCTACCTTAGGAAATAACTGATGTTGAAAAAATATTCAGTTTTAGCAGAGTGGTGATATAGGTGTATAAAGCTTCATAAGAAGCATAAAGAGAATGACAATTAAGAATTATACATGTTTGCTAGAAGTGATAGTGATAATGCTAAAGTGTTAAACTTGTTAGTGACTAACCTATACAAGGTGGAAGGCTTGAGTAACCTATACAAGGTTCAGGTGGAAGGTTTGAGTAACCTATACAAGGTTCAGGTGGAAGGTTTGAGTAACCTATACAAGGTTCAGGTGGAAGGCTTGAGTAACCTATACAAGGTTCAGGTGGAAGGCTTGAGTAACCTATACAAGGTTCAGGTGGAAGGCTTGAGTAACCTATACAAGGTTCAGGTGGAAGGTTTGAGGAAAGCACATCATTAGAGATAAGGGATAGCAGAGAGTATAACAGTTGATGAAGGAAATTGGTGTCGGTTAACCCTTTCAGGGTCGGTCCCATAGTACAGTGGAACCTCAACTTAAGAGTTTAATCCGTTCCATGACCTAGCTCGTAATTCAATTTGCTCTTATGTCAAATCAATTTTCCTCATTTAAATTAATTGAAAAATCCATTAATCTGTTTCATCAGAAATCCTGCTCTCGGGAGGCAGGACAAAATACTTCAGTATGATGCTAATATCAACTCTATGGCTTATTTATCTGTCACAGTTCATCTAATATGACATAAACAATATAAATAACATGGATACATGATATATACTCTAGAATGAATAAAATGTCATTATGTGGTGAGTGGTGGCGGCCATTTGCCGCTCCCGCACTGACCATGTCTTCCCATTCTTCTTCTGAAAATGGAGTGTTTGTAAGGCTAACTGCACTAGATCACTAGTTTCATAAGGAAAACACTGAAACAGTGTATTTATAAATAAGAAATATTGTATAAAAACATAATAGAGAATGTAAAGAAATAAACTGGTTTTATAAAGTGTGCATACATACTTACCTGGGAGAAGAGATGGAAGGTGGAAGATAGGCAGAGCCACATATGTTGTCAGTGGCCCTCAACCCACACACCTCCATCTCGCTTGTTTATCTATGATTTCATGCTTTAATTCCATGGACATCATCATCATTTTCTTCTCAGCACTGTCATTTGCACTTTCTTACGACCCATGGTTAGAGATAAGAAATTTGGTAAAATAACTACAAAATGCAAGCAAAACATGAGAGAAATGCTTCCTGGCAAGGTAAACAGTGCACTGAGTTGGCGGCATTCTGAAGCTCCTCATTATTATTATTATAATGATAATGATTATTATTATTATTAATTTAGGGAACTGGAGCACAGATCCAATTCCCTAGATCAAGAGCCCCTCACTCCCTAAATTAATAATAATAATAATAATGAGGAGCTTCAGAATATCACCAACTCAGTGCACTGTTTACCTCTCCGTGGAAGCATTTCTCTTGTGTTTTGCTTGCATTTTGTAGAGTTATTTTGCCAGATTTCTTTTTTTAAACCATGGGTCCTTAGAAAGTAAGTGCAGAGGACAGTGCTGAGAAAAAGATGATGATGTCCATGGAATTAAAGTATGAAATCATAGATAAACACAAGCGAGGTGGATGTGTGTGGGTTGAGAGGGAAGTGAGGGAAGCTCGCTCGTAACTTGGATGTTGGCTCGTAACTCAGAGCAAAAAAAATTGACCGAGCGACGGCTCGTATCTCGAAAAACTCGCATGTTGGGACACTCGTAAGTTGAGGTTCCACTGTACTACGGCTTTGAAGCCAGGATCAGTCCTTTAGTTCTCCGCCATGAGCTCGGCTCATTCATGCAAGCTGTAAGTGGTAAATTTGGGCCTAGAGATAAAATGGATCTATGTGGTAAGTGCACCATATATAAAAAATCCTGCAACAAACATTGCATAATGAGGGGGGACTGCAACCGTGTTTTTGGTTTAAAACTGCGACTTTACAGTGTATTTTCGTATGGTTTCTTGGTCTCGTTTGGTAGAATGGAAGATAAATTACAGAAATAGATATGATTTTGATTGGTTTCAGGACTGAAAGTAGCTTGAAATGAGCTCAAGATATCAGAAATGTTCGACTTTTGCTGGTATTCCAGAGTACACAAATGATGTCACTCGTACAATACCCCTCCAACTGGCCAGTCTAATGTGCATTTAGGAATGCACTGACATTTTTTATACAGTTATTACAATACTGCAGTAGTATGCATATCGGTAAATTTGCTATTTTGTGTGAATAAAAATTCAAAATGTAAAGAAAGCGTAATATAAAAAGAGGCCTAGGGACATAACTAGTGAACAGAAGAAATGATTTTTTAGTGCCAGGAATGTCTGCAGAGTTTATTCTGGACCCTATTTTTAAATTGGCAATTTTTTTATTTTGTGTGAAATTGGCCAAATTACCAATTTCTGATAACTTTATTGGGTAGTTGAAATAGGTAAATGGAAAGTTTTCCATTAAATTTTGTACTTTTGATTTCATTACCTTCAGAAAGATTCTTTGTCATTTATTTATTTTTTTAATTCTTTGACGCCGAGGACAAGTTTGAAATCAGGGGTCTAGACCCTGAAAGGGTGAAAACAGTTTGGAGCATGTTTGTATGAAAGGTGGGACTGTCGAGAGAGAGAATGGACAAAGTAGTACAATGCAAAGATCGATAACAAGTGTTTGAATACGGTGTCAGGAACAGTATGCCATCTGTTTGCAGGATTATTATTCACAAGAAATATGCTGAAGTGTTAGCAGGAATTTATTGATCATAACCCATCACTAGTGTATTCATTGTGAGCATTTCATGTTATGCTTGAAGAGCAGCTGGATCTATGAAGAATATTTTAGTAAATGCAGATGCTAAGTCAGTGTAAAAAAAAAAATTGGAAAGGAAATATTATATCAAGAAATAAACAGGAAAGTAAAGATGAGTAGTTGACAGTTCATATGGCAGTTTTCCTGAAAATGGTGTAATAAAAAAATTTAAAATGAACTAAGAAAACCATGGTAATCTCTGCTGCTGTAAGTGCCAGGATGGGACCTCCAGAATTGACTGAGCAAGGTTTAACAGAAACATCTCTTTAGACAAGAGCACTAATTGTGCAATCATCTTTCAGATAATACAATAATGGTGGTAGGTGAACTAACAGAAACACTGGGAATTGTATACCTTCTGTTGCCAATCCTGAATCTGCAGTGCTAAGAAGGTTGTTTCCATTCATTGGAGTAACTTTACTATCAGCAGAAGTTTCACTAGAACAGGGCCCATAGAGATTCCTTTTCCTTCTGGCTAGAGGTTGGATCTTGCACAAGGGTACATACTGTATTCCTACAAAGCAGAGGGAGGGGTATAGGGTATTTAGATTTTATCCAAGGAAAGGGGTAAAATTTAAAGGAATTTATCGAGAGTCCATTTGTTGCAAGAAGGAACATCCCCCTTGAAAGGTACTCTAGTCTCTGCCCATATCTAGTTGAGCAAGGGCTGCCTATTTTTTTTTATGGGAATGTAGAATGTAATTTTATTCTTTTCAGAGGATCAAATATATAGTGTAAGGAATTAAAGTTTATCATTTGCAATTCAACACTTTACTTGTATAGTTATTTTTTTTTTGGCAGGACATAAAATTAAAATGCAAATTATTTTTGCTATTATTAATTTATTATTTTTTACATCATTTACACATTGTTATAAATAAAAACTTTAGCACTGGAATACTAGAACCGTGCTCACACGTAATATACAAACTTTACACACGTACATACATACATACATACATACAACCCTCAAGAGACCTATGAAAGTGTCATGACCATGGACTTCAAGTCTTGGGTAATAATACTTCAATAGGATAATTTCCAGCACCTGGGTGGGAAATGTCTTATTGGCTCACTGAGGCTTAAAATCAATGGTCCTGTCACAAACGCACAACCGATGAAATGGAGCAACTACAACTCTAGGCATTGGGTTTCTTTTAGCTCCTCATTTAGATGGAATTTTAACTGTAGGAGTTTAACTGACATGCGCGCGCATATATATATATATATATATATATATATATATATATATATATATATATATATATATATACACATGTATATATATATATATATTATACACACATGTATATATATTATACACACATATACTGTATATGTGAGGCAGGAAGCTGTTACCCATCACTAGAGTGTAAAACGTGTCTCCCTTCGTCAATATGAATAAACAAAGTTGAAAGACCACATGGCTCATGTACATCTTCACAAGTGACCACATTATTGTTATAAATAAAAAAATAATGCATGAAAATAGAGTACTGTACTATACAATTTGTACACTTCCCTATTTCGTATCTAACTAGAAGTGGCATTCTGTATGATAGTTTGTGCCATTGGTTAATAGCACAAACTAGAACCTGTTTGAAGTCTGTTTAAAAGAGATCCTGGGTTTCTCAACTAATTGTTGTATGGGCTTTGCCATTCAGTCTGATTAATCATGTCATATTCCTGTATTTCAAAGCTAACTGCTTTTTGCCTTTTCTAGGTTTTCATCAATTCAAAATGTGTCAGGGAGGGGGAGACTGTAGTAGGCATTCCTCATGCTACTTATGTTATTCTATTGTAAATACTCTCAAATTTTATATAAAATTGTTTTCATGACGCTGGCCTAGCATATTAGTAACTAGAAATTTGAAGTTTCTGCATTCATTGCTTCATAAATTATTACTGTATACTCACAAAATGAAAAAGGCTATCCTTGAGGGGTCATTCAGCACAACATGAAGTATAATACACAATATGAAATCAATATAAACCAAATACTACCAGGTAGATGATAAAGAATTGCAGAAATGTGGTTAATAATAATCCAAATAATTGCTTAACACTACTGTTCTATTTTTTTTTTTATGAAACTTGCTCTTATAAACCTAAAGCATTTCTCTCTCAGTTTTACTTCCCAAAGTGCAATAAAACAGTAAAAGTTTAAAAAAAGTTTTCAATATTAATATATAAATCCCAGGTTAACCTACAGACTCTAGTCACGCTGAGGTAGACAATGTGTGCAAATCACATGTGACATGCTTACTGTATTTACATTTAATACATACCATAATATATTTGCTCTAAATTCAAATCAATATTAATCTTCAACATGACTACAGACCTAGTCGAGGCAGCATGGTGGTACTTTTGGCTCAAATAACTAGTCAGTTCTTACAAGAATTGAGCATTGAGCCCATTAACCCTTAAACGGTCCAAACGGATCGACGTTCAAATTCGTAGTGCTACAAAAGTAGATCTATTTTTTACATATTTTCAAATATAACAAAAAAAAATGTAGATAAAAATTTTTTACACGTTTTCAAATGTAAAACAAAAAAAAAAAAGAATCTACATTTTTTTACATACTTTCAGATGTTGAAAAAACATATATACGTTTGGACCATTTAAGGGTTAAGGAAGAATCCCAATATTTCACCTTACCACAATTTCTTGTTCAATTATTATTATTATTATAATCAAAAAGAAGCCCTAAGCCACAAGATTTCTTGTTCAAGCTCACTCATGTTTACTGTTACCTTCCATGTGGTGCACATTACAAACTTGGTAAAGTAATTCTTTAAAAATGTGAAAAAAAAAGCAGTTGATAAAGTTTAATGAAATTTGCCATTATGCCTAGAAAAGTTTGATGAACAAAATGTTAAATTGTATCTGTACCAGAAAATAATGGTCACTTATAATGATGTACACATCTAAGATTAACGTAATAATGGCTTTAACTAGCTTTTTTAAAAATCATGCATATACATATGTATATAATAATATATATATCTATATATATACACATATATATATATATATATATTAATACATATATATATATAATATATATATATAATATATATATATATATATATATATAATATATATATATATATATATATATATATATATATAATATATATATATTATATAATATATATATAAAACTATATATATTCTTGATTATATTATATATAATAAATATATGAATTATGTTAATAGATCATAAAAATAGTCCATCCTATCTTGACTTTTCATTGGTATGATGGATGTGAAACAAAGAGCTGTGTGAGGGAGTTGGCAGCTTGATGATAACATAGTAAGGTCCAGCTTCTGTCAGACTCGCTGCGTATTATGGCGTCATTGTTTTGTAAAATTGTCGATTGTAAAATAATAAAATGCTTTAGTAAATTTGTGCTCATACTTTATGAACACTGATTTATGAGAAGTACACTGCTAAAGGAAAACCCATCTATTAATCTAAATTTTCTGAAATATTCAACACGATTTGTGACAGATAATACTGTTAATAAATAAAAATTATCAATTATTACATAAAATATGTACCATTTAAGAAACCAAGTGTAAATAAATGAAATGGTAGTGATTCAATATACAGGTACCCAGGAGTCCAGACCAACATGCACATTTAGAGGGCAGTGCATCCCCCACAGCCCTAACATAGCTCCTAATTCTCCAACTCTCCATCCCAAATAAATTTTGAAATATTGGCAATGTTTTCTTATTTACCTAATAATACAGCTGAAGCTGAATTGCAATTAAATAAATGAAGGACATACTTGAGACATCATACTGTATTTTGATTAAAAATAATATAATGCACGTTTTGAAAGAATAATGCAAAATTTTACTTATATACCAAGGTAATATTTAACTGCAATTAAGAGAACACAAATGAACTTGAAACATGCTACTAGAAAATTGCACTTGGTGACACCACAAAACTACCATGTCAAAAATGTTATTCATGCCCTAACTAGGATAGAGCTGTGCAATAATCATGCATTATAGACAATTGATATTAATATTGTGAATGGCATGACAAATATTAAATCAATGACAATTTTGTTAGGGCTGTACCTGGGCTTGATGGACAGCTGAATAAAAACCTATTCAGGTCAAGATTTACATGCTATTAAATGGTGTATGACCCTTGTGGGTTTAGTGCTTAGATATGATTATAACAGCAACATGCTATTATGGCTGCCATATTCTACTGCTCTTTTCTTCCCATGTAGTGTACATCATAAGTTCTGTATGTAGCCAGGAACTCTCCATACTATTTGTATCAAAACCAGTAATTAGTTCAATCAATATTTTTAACTTATTCAAGTCATAATGAGGTTATATTTTCTTAAGGACTCCTAGAGCAAAACATATATACTGAAAAATGAGCTTCAATGGTTAAAAATAAAACCCAAATTTAACATATGGGTAAAATCATTTAGTAAAGGTCATCCATGTCAAGATAAAACTTTAATGTTTAGCAAAGTTTTAGTCTAATACTGCTACATTTTTTAATGCCAAGTGCCAGCAGAGGTGTAATAGCAATTAACTCGTCTGACCTCATGAGTGATCCAAGCACAAAAACAGTGACATTTATGTGAAAGGCACAGTAATTCACACACACAAAAAAAAAAAAAAAACTGAGGTAAAGGTTCATTTGAACTTTTAAGTGTTCATCTGTATTAAGTCATAATAAAATTTGGGGAACACTCCAAATGAGAGTTTAATTATGGAGCTTCCCAGATCTTTGGGAGTCTCGATTCAGAGAACACCAGCCCTAAGATCAACTGTAAAAAGCAACTGGCTTCAATTACTTAAGACAAAAATATTTTTTTATGGCAACAGACAAGGAGCCTAAATCCAGGGCTTCTGATTTATTAGGTGTACATCAATCTTGCAATATGTTCAGCAGAAAACAAGAAACCCACTGCAAAATGAAAACATGATAAGATCCCCCTACCATAACAATTCATTGCCTCAAACACTGATTTGAGTAATTGTCACTATAGTTCAATCTAAATCAATGTTTCTGTAGTTAATGAGAGCAGACATGAACACTCCTTGTTGTGTGTAAATGTTTGGTTCAAATGTCTGGAGGAGGTAATGCCACTTTCTCAGAGAAATCCTCTCTTCCTAGTAATTTTTTTCTGCCATCAATCATATTTCATTAATAAAATATATTAATTTTTACTGACAACACTATTAAAATGATAATACAGTACATTAAACTAAATGAATGCAGCACTTGTGAGCCCCTTCAGGCATGATGAGTGAACTGTCCACCACATACCATTGATCAACACAAATGTGACCAACACCAAGTTTCAGGACTTTTTTTTTCAAACAAAGTAATAAAAATATCTACTTTTTTTAAAGCTGAGATTTGGTGATCTGGTCACAAAGAGTATTGTGTTCATGTGCACTTGGCTGACTCAAACCCTTTGATACAGGCATTCTTAACCTGTAAAGGATGCCCACAAATGCATCACCGACTAGGAAAGGACAAAATACAATATAGACTCCCATACCCTCCCCGAGAGAATGCTGCATACAATTCTAGGTAGCGTAAGACACAGCAAGTGCACTTTGTACCATGGCATTTACCACCAAGTCACGGCCGAGCAGCCTCAACATATTCACAAAAATTATTTACCCCTTGCAGTCTTATTTTATATAGAAAATATGCATGAAGTGAAAGAAAAATAGGTAACATGGACTACGGTATTTTAGAGATACAAGGTCATTTTAATTATTTAAAATTTTGTTTAATAGACAATGATAGTTTAACGGTCACACACACAAAAAATGAATGGAGATAAGAAAACACTATGAAAATCTATAATAATGGTTGGAAAACCCACAGGTTTGGCAAAAGTTTGTGGTGATCACATTGACATAGATTCTGCAAAAGCCAATTACACTAAAGACTCTGATTAATGTACAGTTTTAACACAATTTCCTTTATTATCCATTATCAATGGAGAAATGTCAGCTTTCATGTATTTATCAAGCCACAAAGTAATACCTGTATACTGCATACAGTAGTGGATAAAAAACAACTTCCATTAATGCAAGAAAAAATTAAGACATCGCTATCTAGGTAAAGCACTCAAGATGACCATTAAAACTTTTCATACTGACATTGTTTCCCTTCAAAAATACTGCAGTGTAAAAGGAAACCACTTTAGCCAGGAAAGAGCTACTTTAACATTACTCCCTAATGCTAGTCACAATTCTTTGGTGTACTTATAATCTACATGTGTAACTGCATGGGAAATTTGATAAAAATAAGAGAAGCAGAAGTTCTATTCTATTCTCAAATTATATACTCTTCTCTCCCCCCAATGCAAGAGACTGGGAAAGTAAATAAACAACTAAGTGTATTTTATCATATTTGTGCCTTGGTTTGTTTTTCCTCATACGGCATGGGAACATCAAAAATAGACAATACTGTACTTGGTATGGCCTAGTAGTAACAAACTGGAGTAGAGACTTATGTGGAGACTGTAGACCTCTATCTTCGAGAACTTTCAAATGCATTTATCTTCTGTAAGCCATTTAAATTATACTCTTGCCAGAGCCTAGACCATAGAATGATTTGTCATGGTTAAATATAGGTTATAGTCATGGAAAGCACTAAACCCAAAAGTGACATAGGGGGCTGCCTTTGGATGAACAGTTAAAAGAGCGTTAAAGTATGCTTTCTTACTTTAGGGTTCTTTCAACCGAGTAAATTTCAGTGTGGTCAACTGCTCATATGCAACAATTAAATTAATTTTCATTTTCTTAATGCTGATTTCATTGCATATTTTTTATGGCTGCAACTTCATATTTATTCTCTCATATATGCTGAGACAACCTTCAATTGTTGTCATATTTTTCTTACTGTGGGTAAGCAGCAGTTTCACTTTATAAACTCAAAAAATTAAGAATTTAGCACATTCATCTTAATTTGTAAACTGTCAATGGCTCATATGTTCTGAAAATATTCTATATTTAGCCACCTCTCAAGTCATTATGGGATCATGGATATATAAAGATAGAATATCTAGTCTGCCATCTGCTCTTTCTGTATTTAGAAAGATATACAAATTAAGATCTCCATATATCATCCAAGACCCCACCTATCTTAATTTGGTCCTGTTAACTAAGATGAAAAAAGCTTATGTCTCCATATTTGAGAAGTAGTGGACCATTTACTAGAGAAGACCAACACAGATTTTGAAACAGGAAATCCCATCTAACAAATCTTAAAATCTGCAACAGACTTGCAAAGGCAAAACATAAATGGAGGTGCTGGGAAGACTGTTAGATGCTCAAGTCTCTACAACTCAAAGCCTCTGTCACACCCTCCCTTAAACTGTTCCTGGGATGACCCCTGCTCCTGCTGTACATGTATACTGTATAAAATGTAAGTATAGATAATATGAGAGAGGTCAGATGATGGGTTTTAGAGATACATGCACAATAATGCTTGCAACATTTCTTTATACACTGACTAATACAGAGTCTACCATTTTATATCTTTAAAAAATTTAATGCACTCATTTGTAGTCTGGAGAAACCTTAATATAATTTCTCTCAATATGACTGATATTTAAAAAGGCAGGTAAATGTTCAAGAAGTCTAGCGATATTTAGCTTATTGCTAAAGTTCTCAACAATCTCTAAAGCTTAAGTGTTAAGTGGCTTTCACAGAAACTAGACAACATTCATTACCACAAAAAACTCTTTAATACACTTGAGCATTATTTTTCTATAAAAATAAAATAAAAATATTCATCATACAAACTCTACTGTACCGTATATAGATTGCTTAAAAAAATTTCAATACTGTATTATACTTTATAAATTTCAATTTTGAAAACAAAATTCCATAAAGCATAGAATATCTGGTTACACTGGAAAGATTTCACATTAATACAAAGTGATAAGCTAAGGATACTCAGGAGTGTTCCTTAAGACAGCACTCGGGTAATC